CGGGCAAGGGTGCTATAGAACTTTGAGCCTGTTAAAAATGTTCCCCGTCCTGCAATTAGACAGAGGGGAAACGTTCTTAAAACGAGATGGACGTACTATGAACGGAATTGCCGTACTATGAACGGAATTGCCGTACTATGAACGGAATGACACCAGGGACGTGTTACAACGTGACGTAGTCGAGCATCAATAAGCAGTACTTTATTTATTTTATTTTATTTCGTGGGGTTGGGTAATTTTTAAAAAAATATTTCTTATTGTATATCATATATACTCTTCAAAAAAAGTAGGGGATATTGAAATGCAAATACTTATGCAGGTTGTGATATGATAATTAGTCAAGGACACTTGACATGCTTTAAGATTATGTTCAAAGATGAAAAATTATCGCCACAACAGAACCACTGAGCTGCACGTACGACACGCAATAGCGCCATACACGTGGGAGGGGTTTATGAAAACTGCCGCGTGCTGGTTTATCCTATCCATGTTTGCTTTCCTATCGGTTCTTGTATAAGATTTACTGTTTAGCGTATCTTTGCTTTAGTGTGTTACGTTTAATTTGCAATGAGACGTCTTCAACATGATGAACGTGTACGTGCTATTGGCATGCTTCAAATGGGTTCTACACAGCGAGCAGTAGCCAACATGCTAATGTGTCACTGTCTGTGATCAGCAGACTGTGGAACCGGTACCAACAAACACGCAATGTTGATGATATACCTCGTTCAGGTCGTCCTAGAGCCACTAAACAAGCCCAGGATCGATACATTCGTACACAGGTCCTGCGAAATCGAGGACAAACGGCCAATCAGCTTTCTGTAAACTTGTACCAAGTTACAGGAATTCGAGTTATACCCCGAGCGATTAGAAATCGGCTACATGCAGCCCATTTGCATGCGCGACGACCGCGTGCTGTGCCTCCATTAACTCGCCAGCACATGGGCGCGTGTAATGTTCTCAGATGAGTCCAGATTTCCTCTGGATTTCACCGATAGGCATGCTCGAGTTTGGAGGCGTGTAAAATGATCGTCATGCTAACGTTAGCGTCAGACAGCATGGTATATTCGGGCGTGGGTCTGTTATGGTGTAAGGAGGAATCGCCATGACTGGCAGAGCGAACTGCATATTGTTCAAGGAAAAGTCACTGGTGTGTACTACCGTGACTACATCCTGGCACTTTGCTTTGCTCAACGTGCAGGTCGACGTTTCATCTTTCAAGATGATAATGCCCATGCCCACCGCGTTGGTGTCGTGAATGACTACCTCCAGCGTCACCATATTGTCCATATGCCTTGGCCAGCCATGAGTCCTGGCCTTTCCCCTACAGAGCATGTCTGGGACATGATCGGGAGACGTGTTCGTCGACGTCAACGTTAACCGACAACACTGCAAGAATTGGCCGTGGCACTGCAAGAGGAGTGGGTCAGATTGACCCAAATCGAGAATGGACGATTGATTAGGAGCATGCCACGACGAACTGCTGAATGTCTGAGGATTGGTGGAGCAATTACTCATGATTAAGGCAAAAATCAAAAACGTCCATTTTCATTTTTGACAGTGTATCTCTTTGCGAGTGAAATGGGGCCGTCAGATAAGCCGCCCATATGAACTGTTTATGTTCATGTGTGGGCAATTAACATACACTGGTTACCTTTAATAAAAACAGCAGTGCATTTCCACGGTTTTGTATTGTTTCTGAATATCCCCTACTTTTTTTGAAGAGTACTAGTATTGTATTTGTAGGGTTGTGGGGTTATGGTACTAATTTATTTGATGGAGAATAAAACCATGGCTATTTAGCCCTTTTTGCATTATTTAAAAACCCATAATTTATACTTAATTACTTTTTAACGTGCATAAAACCTTTCATATTTGAATTTATTATCGGTATGTTAATTTATTTATTTCTATAATTTAATCTGGAGTGAGTTCAATGGAACCATCTTCTAAGCATTTTTTAAATTCTAAATGGTTGAAGATCTGGGCATCAGACTGGCTTCCACAACCACCAACATATATCCACATGAATTTGTAATTTGCATCTACCAAGGACATTAAACACTATTGAGCAGAAGCCTTTGTAGTTGTGGTACATGGTTCCAGTCTTGGGAGACTTTCTGGTGGCTATATGTTTCCCATCCAGGGAACCACAGGAATGTGGTACATTCCAGCGCATCATGAATTCCTCAGCAGCTTCTTTCCATCTGTCTCTGTCAACGGGACAGGGCAGATGATGGCATCATTTTTTAAGTCCATCACCAAGGCATCACAGACTTCTTTCACCAACAAGCATATGGTGTTTCTTGCTACCCGGAAACCATATTGCGTGGTGGCATAGTAATCTCCTGTTGCGAGATAACGCAGTGTGGTGGCAAGCTTCATCCCTGGTTCCAGAGTTTCCCTGTAGTTGGTGTCTTGTTTTTTATGAAGGGGGTGATGCGTTCTGTCAATCACGAGTGGGTTGATTCTCAAGACGTTGAAGACGGACTCATCCAGCTTGTGTCCCCCATTTCTGGTCAGGCCCACGTGGCCCTGGAGCCCCTGATAGGCATGTATGTGGGGTTATCGCCTCAATAATATGCTCCTATGTCCAGAAATATATAGTTTGTCTCTAGATATAGTTTGGTTTGCTGAAATAATCGCGAATTAAAGGGCCATATTGTCTGCCATTTTTGATTTTACTACCATCTGATCAGGATTTTAGTTTATTCCTTGACCCCCCAAAATACGGTTAGATACCAAAATTATCATCTTAGACTAAATACTATGGGAGTTATAGGGGATTATTTGGAATGGCGACCGTGTTGGACGCCATCTTGAGTTTCTCAAAACGTGCATGGGTAACCGAGGTTCACCCGACAGATTCTGAAAGAGGACACGCTAGGCTACTAAAATCATTCATAAAAAAACCTTTGAATACAATTTCCAGGTTCAGCCATAGTTTTGCCGGATTATTATTATTATGTGTATATACAGGTTTATTAACATATGCACAACATTTTGACGATGATACTCTCGTCTTTATATAGTGATTGTTATCCATAGAACTATGCTGTGTAATGTTGTTCAACGCATACCAACTAGATTCATACTGTTGCTTAGCTTAGCATAGATACAACCATATCCTTATTATTGTTTAGTATATAAAATAACCCATATATAGATGTTTTAAAATGGATGCCTTAGACAGTTGGACTCTATGTTGTCGCATGTAGGTATTAAATGAGTGGTAAATGTCATTATATACTATTCAAAAAAAGTAGGGGATATTTGATTTTGGGGGCATAATACTAAAATATGCAAATGACTACGAAAAAAGTCACTATAGAACCTAACAGAAGAAACATTTCCAGTTACATGTGACGCCCAAACGCACCAATAGCTACCGCATGGAATGCAGGTGATGCTTGGGATCATCATGGGGGTCCAACCCAAGATTTGCACGACTCTGACTTTGAATGTTACAGTCATTGTGGCATTGAATTCCAGTTTGGAAACATCAGTTTAATTGTTTTAGTGACCAGAAAACAAATTTTGATATGCGTCGGCTTACCCAAAATGAAAGGTTACGTGCCCTTGGCATGCTACAGATCGGCACAACACAGGCGGTTGTGGCGCGGACGATGAATGTTTCTCAGTCTGTCATAAGCAGGCTATGGTCCAGATACCGTGATACACAATCTGTACAGGACAGACCACGCTCAGGTCGATCAAGGGCGACAACTCAAGCCCAGGATCGATTTATCCGTACCTTGGCCTTGAGAAATCGTGTCATCACAGCAAATCAGATCAGCGCTCGTCTTCAAACAGACACTGGTGTGAGAGTGAGTGGCCAGACGATTCGGAATCGACTGCATAGGGGTCACCTTCGCGCCCGACGTCCTCGCGTGATCCCTTGTTTGAGAGATCATCACATTCAGGCAAGACGTCGTTGGTGTAGGGATCGTCAACACTGGGATAATCGACGCTGGAGCAATGTGATGTTTTCAGATGAGTCAAGGTTCACTGGTGATTTTTTGGACAGACGTAGGAGGGTGTGGCGTCGTCGAAACGAGCGCTTCTAAGACGTTAACGTCATCAGACATGATCGATTTGGGGGTGGTTCTGTTATGGTGTGGGGAGGCATCACTGTTGCTGGAAGAACGGCTTTACATGTTGTTGCAGGGCGTGTTACAGGCCAGTACTACCGGGACAACATCTTGGCAGTCCATGTTGTGCCGTTCGCACGACGTCATGGTCGCCGTTTCATCTTCCAGGATGACAACGCAAGATGTCACAGGGCCAGGATCGTTACAGGTTACCTCCAACAACAGAACATCACCACATTACCTTGGCCAGCACTGAGTCCCGACCTCTCCCCCATCGAGCATGTCTGGGACATGCTTGGACAGAGGTTACGTCAACGTCAACAACGTCCTGCCAATGTCCAAGAACTTGCTGCTGCGTTGCAACAGGAATGGGACAATCTGGACCAAAATGACCTTAGACGTCTCATTAGGAGTATGCCACGTCGGATCAATGCTTGTTTGGCAAACAGAGGAGGATTTACCCGTTACTGACTTGGTTGTGATGCTGTGGTAACTTTGCTGTTTGACCCCGGGTATCATTTTACCCTTATAATGGTCAGTCTGTGCCTTACTTAGTCTAACGATCATTTGGAATAAATCGATGAATGTGAACTTCATTTCATTTTGTCATTTGTTTCTTCGTCAGTTTCATTAGGTGACTTTAATAACACTTAAAAATCAAATATCCCCTACTTATTGAATAGTAATATGAAACCAATTGATCCTAAATCATAAAATCAAATGAAATGAGGTTTCTGAACGAACTGAGCTAATAAATTATACTCAATGTCATCGACAAATAAATGTCATAACAAACGCATTATTCTTCATCATATAAATTAGTTTATACGGGTTTTCTTTGTTTGTTTACTTTCATAGTTTTATCTAATCAAGTTTTGAAATTGTGTAAAATGTTTTATTGTAATATACCTTGAAAATACATTTCTCCACACCTCGGACAACAGTCATCACGTGTTGTAACCAATGTCTTGCATTTTACAGGTAAACAAGTCTTCAGATGACACAACAGATGACCTTTCTAAAATATAGAAACATCCACAAATCATCATTTCAGCACTGTTTAAAGTGTACAAAATAAATCAATTATTGTATCATAATAGCATCATAGGTTATCACGATGCGCTTCGGGAACGAAAGCTTCTTAATCTGGGCGGTGCACTTAGATAATTGGTTGGTTGATAGACCCCAAAAAACTTAAATGTTTACTCTGGGAATTGGGAAATATCTAGTTGGTGTGCTTAAAAAACTGGTCTGTGTGTTTAGGGAATGTGTGGCACCTGACTAGGAAATGTACTTCGGGATTTGACTATCCCGGTTCTTACTTGGGAGAGGCTGGGTTACCACGAAAACTAAAGTTCACAATTTGATGTACATGTAACAAGCACGCGGTATTTATATCCGTAATGGTCTAATTACGATGTTGTCGAATTCGAAATATGTAAATCATAAATTCATAATTATTTTTTTTTTAAAAATAAAATACATGTATGTCATTAAATCAATGTTGAACAACATTTGTATTTTACAAACTCTGACTAAATAGAAGTGTCATGTACACTCACTCGATGCTTACGTCTTTTGAAACACAATTATAACGTCAACTTACTATGTACCATTTTGTTTCCAAATCAATATAAAACCCCACCTGAAACAATACGTGGTACCATGTGTTCTCGAAAGAGAAAGCACGAAACACGTCTCTACTTTGGATCCGATCCGGATTACAGAGCCCGAAACCTCGGGGTTTAGCATCTTCTAAATGCAAATTCAAATTGAACTTCTTCAGTTTTAACCTTTGCATTCAAATGGTATGACAGACAATGATGTCCTACTATGCAGATAACCAAGAAAAATATCGTGCCTTAATAATATGATTCGTTAATTATAATACAGTAGATAAAATAAACCCCGCAAGTTCTGAATAAATTTGCCTCATTAACAGAATGAAGTGATGAACAGGATTAGTGTGACATCTTTAACCCTTGTTGATATTTTAATTGAAAAAATATAACATAGATAATAGAAATAACTTACCAAACAAACACACATAACACACTGTTCATCTCTAGTTGAGCGTAAACCAGTTTTATTTGAGGGGAAAACTTCTCCATCTTCAAACTCTTCTCCATCAAATTTACACCCAGGTTGTGGTTCGTTGCTCTTGGTATCCTCCTCTACCTGGTCTGTAGGAGGAAGGTTGGCATAGTCTAAATAACAACATGGTTGACTATTCACATAACAACATCAAACAGGCAAAAATAATACTAACTACAAGCTTAAACATTACACATGGTATACTAAAATGTAGAATAGAGAGTAGGCAGAATAGAAAGTAGACAGAATAGATAGAATAGAGAGTAGACAGAATAGGTAGAATAGAGAGAAGACAGAATAGAGAGAAAACAGAATAGGTAGAATAGAGACAAGACAGAATAGGCAGTATAGCGAGTAGATAGAATAGACAGAATAGAGAGTAGACAGAATAGATATAATAGACATAATAGAGAATAGACAGAAATAGACATAATAGACATAACAGACAGAATAGAGAGTAGACAGAAAATAGACAGAATGAAAAACATGATATTTAAAATAAACATAATACACAGAATGGGTAGAACAGGCAGTATAGACATAATGCAGAATGATAAATGCAGAATAGACATAATTCACATTAGACATAATCTTGGGAATGGTTAAACAGGCAGAATAGATAACTAAACGTGTCCAATTTCTTGCAAAGTTTGTTGAAATTCACCAAAACGAGAATCCTTGTAAATTTTGATTAAAATCATTAACGACTTCTAACAGATGATGAAAATTTTAAACACTGGTAGAGTTATCAGTCAGGAATTAGAAGCACCGTGCACAACCAAGGAGTAAAACACACTTAGTACGCAACCTGAGATTCCAGACGCAGAGCGAGTTCTGGATCCATATCAAAAATGCACAGTCGTTCACACAACAGGTAGAGCGAACAAAAACAAGCTTAATACAGACTTGTGGATAGAAAGCTGGGAATAACAATCTCGTGAATAACACATTTTGTCTTAATTGCATTCTTCTATTTATCACTAATATCATATTAATTTGTACGGTTTTTTTTACAATCCTGCACAGTTAACCATGTTAATTAAAAACATATATGCCAATTGAAACATATATCTATTACTTATATTAGTTTAAACATAATTGCCTATAAACGATGTTGATAGTGTAGATTTTTGACAATTTTCTTGTAAATGTAAAACATTTTCAAGTTTATAATTGCATGATAACTTCAGAAATGTGCTTCATGAAATAAGAAACAAACCTATACAGACTGGACAACATTGTCCTGGTGGATGTTCTGGTTCTGGACAATCGGGTCTAGGACATTTCTCACTTTTACATTCCACTTTACCGCCCTAAGAAATTGAAATAGACATAAAGTACTATGACTTGATTAGAAAGAAGAACGTAAGGATAAATATGTAGACTTACATTTTATGGTTACTAAATATTCTGAATTAAATAGGCTTCAATACTGATCCTTGAGGAACAACCGTTTCCTTTTTGTAACTCCATGTTGTAATATAGCTTACCTGTAAACACGTACAGTTAACACACGGCATGGTACCTATAGGCTGTAAAGTAGGGTTCCAAGTCTCACCAACATCATATTTTCTACCATCTAATATACACCTGTGTGCCTCACCTGTAATTAAAATGGCATCTAATGGAGCTACAGCACAATCCACACTGAGAAACATTATAACAATTTAGATGTCGAGAAAAACAACATAGACGCTTTTATAAAGTTAACATTTATAGTGCAACTAATTAACAGTATTCCTAAGACAGAAGCAGAAGCGAAAACAGGACGCAGATACATCAATATTTTAACAATAGTAACGTCATATTAGGAAGAATTTAAATCATTTGATTCTCCATTAATTGGTTATTTTAATGTCCTCATGGAGCGCCAGTATAGGTTAATGCTCGAATTTGACAAATTCGGCCATTGATTTTTATAATTCCTCCAGAGATTTTGACTGTTACATTATGACCTAAAATAAAATATATTTCGTACAGACCTGAAACCGAACTTTTAGATGTCTGAGATTACATACGTTTCAGTTTACAATACAAAATAACATCAATTAACTAATAAAAAAACACAAAATTACATACATATGGGGAGGGGTTGAATTTTATGATCAGGACAACATCGTAGTTGTATTTACGTGAGATTTGAGTTTTGATAAAAGAAAATGGTTGACATTAGATGGTCCATTTCTAAACACTCTTGCGTAGCGCGGAAACGAATCATTGCAATAAAAATGTGCGAAATATTAGTCCCGAAATGGACTGGTTAGTGTTGAGTGCATTCCATATTCCAAACATGTTCATCGGATTAGGCTAAGTATACCCATTCAGGTTCAAGTATTTTTATATTGTCCGATTCAAAATAAAGAGGGTGTGTTTCCGTCCTCTGAAAAGTTTGCGATTGTCAGACCACTCGTAAAGAAACAAGGACTTAATCCAAATGAACTAAAAAATTACCGACCTGTGTCCAATATCTCGTTCCTTGGCAAACTTATAGAAAAGGTTGTTTTTAATCAAGTCGATAGGTATCTATCCGATAACTCCATGTACTGCAAGTTCCAATCGGCATATCGCAAATTCTATTCCTCCGAGACTGCACTGGTAAAAGTTTTTAATGACATTTTAATCTCATTGGACAATCATCATGGAGTCGTTCTGGTAATGCTTGACCTTTCAGCAGCCTTCGATACGATCGACCATTCCATTCTATTACCACCCTGGGGTGTAGGGGGTGATAAGAATATACCCTTCGTATGTCCTGCGTGTCGTAAAAGGCGACTAAAAGGATCCCTGTCATGGGGCAACGTGTTTGCCGTGCTTTGCAAGCCGTGACGGCGGAGAGTGGAATCCTGGTTTGCGAGCCCTTTTTCTGCAACACATTACTTTGGCCCATAGGAGGTCAGAGTTGCCCACTCTGATCAATCGGCGTGGTCGTGTTAGTTGATGAGAAGATGATTTATTTTCTCCCTTACTGTGTTATTAGTTTAGTACAGTTAAACCTTTGCGTCCTGTAGCATCTTCTCAGAAGCCTGTACGGATCTTGCAATCAAAGCTGATTAGGGAGCAGTCAGTGATGAACTTTAAAGATTATAAACCTTTGCGTCCTGTAGCATCTTCTCAGAAGCAGCGGCTTGGGTCAATCGGATAAAGCACAAGATCTTCTCTTTACTTAGTCTGAGTATATCACTGACTGCTCTCGTTGGGCGCCAGCGCTTGATATCCGCGCAATAGCCTGTACGGATGTTGCAATCAATGCTGATTAGGGACCAGTCAGCGATGAACTTTAAAGCTTATAAACGTTAGCGTCCTGCAGCATCTTCTCAGAAGCAGCGGCTTGGTTCAATCGGATAAAGCACAAGATGTCCTCTCGTCGGGGGCCAGCGCTGGATATCCGCGCAATAGCCTGTGCGGATGTTGCAATCAATGCTGATTAGGGAGCAGTCAGTGATGAACTTTAAAGCTTATAAATGGCTTCCCAAAATAAAAAATCTCGTCCGCCGAAACGCGGACCGACAGACGATATCTTTGATATATCTAATAAACTTCCCGAACTTGGTAAAGGTTTCTGGTTCTTGAGAGGACAAATGAAACCTCATTAAGTAAACAATCTCCTTTTTTAATTGCCAAGGGTCTCGCCGTATTATCTGGTGAACCTTAAAGCGTTAAAAAAAATGAGGAATGGTACTCTCTTGGTTGAATGCGCTAAAGAGCAACACTCGTTATGTTTATTAAAATCTACAACTTTAGCGGGCATTCCTATAAAGGTAATACCTCATAATAGTCTAAATTTTTCTAGAGGTGTTATTAGGTCTCAGGATTTAGAAGGTAGTAATGAGGAAGAGATGCTTGAAAATCTCTCCTCACAAGATGTAACAGTTGTAAAACGCATTTCCATCAAGCGTAATGGTAACATCATCCTAACCAATACCTATATCCAACACCTATATCCAGAACTGCCCAAAACGATAAAAGCTGGATTTCTCTTAATTCCAGTTTCCCCTTACATACCAAACCCATTGCGTTGCTTTCAGTGCCAACGCTTTGGGCACAGCAAAAATGTATGTAAGGGAAAACCAATTTGTGCACGATGTGTCCAAGATGGCCACGAAAATGAAACATGCCAACTCCCATATCACTGTGCCAATTGGAAAGGAGCTCATTTTGCTTATTCAAGAGAGTGTCATTTGTGGAAAAAAGAGAAACAGGTGCAACAGATCAAAACAGAAAAAAATATTTCTTACCCTGAAGCGCGGAAATTGGGTGAGTTTGCCACACCAGTGTCCGTATTTGCAACTTCGTTTGCAAATATAGCGAAGCCAAAGACCGTTTCCGTTGCTTGTCAGACCGAGTTGCCCCTGCTGGCTTCCGGGCAGACAGAATCATCGACTAAGCCTCCAATACCAAAGAAACCAGAATTTATTGCCCTCGGCACTCAGTCAAGTTCGTCTTTAGTGCCAGAGGCGGCAGAGGAGATTGTGTCAGAAACTCGTCCTTCAAATGGTGGCACGCCACCCACATAACCCGCGAAAGGTAGAAAACCACCAAAAAACTCTAAAGACCGACCTTCAACTTCGAAGGCCGGTTCAAAACTTTTTTCCTTCCGTAGTAGGAAGGGCGAAGATGATCCATAGGTATGTCCATACCTATAATAGGTTCGGGAATCAGGACGGTATGATGGATGTTGTTGTGGAGATTCACGACCCCAATCCCAAACAACAGTCAAGAAGTCCTGTAAAACATCCCTGACGATGGTCAATTCCATAATTCAATGGAACTGTCCAAATCCTAATACAAAAATTCAATTCATTAGCTATTTGTTTACAAGAAACATTTCTTAAAACATCTGATAAATTATCATTTAAACATTTTGTTGAATATCATCATTTTGCTACTAATGATTGTAGAACACATGGTGGTGTTTCCATTATTATTAATGGAGATGTCCCACAGAGTCAAGTCGCCCTAACCACTCCTCTGGAGACTGTGGCTGCTAGGGTGACTTTACTATTCCTGTCACTCTATGCTCTGTGTACTTACCACCTAGTTTAAATTTAAACCCCAGAGATCTTGATGACCTGATAGAACAATTACCTCCCCCTTTTATCCTTACAGAGGATTTCAATGGTCATCATTCACTCTGGGGTAGTACTGATGATAATATCAGAGGTAATCAAATAGCTGACTTCATTAACATTAATAATTTATGCTTATTAAATAATGACTCGCCCTCTTACCTACACCCAGCAACTGCTTCCTTTTCTTCCATCGATCTCACCATTTGCTCTCCGGTCCTATTTCAGGATTTTACGTTTAGGGTGAATGGTGATCAATGTGGCAGTGACCACTTTCCTATCGTGATTGATAATAATGGCCCCACTCCAGTGGAAAAACCTCAGAGGTGGAAATTGCGCTCTTTTTGAATCTTTGTGTCTCCTTCTCCTTTGATGCAAAGGAGTTAGGTGATGCAGATGATCCTATTGCCTTATTCACTTCAATCCTCCAAGGTGTGCAGAGGCGGTTCCAAAGACCACGACTGAACCAAAACGTTTCAACAAATCATGGTTTAACGATTATTGCAAATCCGCTCTTAAAGAGCGTGATCGTATCTTGAGACGACTCGAGACTCACCCTCCATAACTTAGGTTTACGAGGTCGATTGCCTATCTTTATTTCCAATTTCCTAGAAGATAGGTCGTTTAAGGTTCGTCTGGGATCAATTTTCTCTGCCCCATTTTCTCAGGAAATGGGCGTCCCTCTTTGAAGTATATTATCTCCCACCCTTTTTTCCATCAAGATAAATACCATACCGTGGGGTCGACGGCTCTCTTTATGAAATATGATTAGGGAGTTCTTAGGTTTGGTATTTGATAAGAAATTATCATTTATACCCCATATAAAGAGCTTTAAGAAGAAATGTCTGAAAGCCCTTAACATATTGAGAGTCTTGTCAAACACTGACTGGGGAGCACACCCTAAGGTCTTGCTCAGAATATATCGAGCATTAATAAGATCCAAACTCGATTATGGGTGTATTGTGTATGGATCGGCCCGCGAGTCTTATCTCATAGAGCTTGACACCATACACAACCAAGGACTTAGAATCAGTTTAGGAGCCTTTCGTACACCTCCAGTGCATAGTTTATACGTCGAGGCGCACGAGCCCTCATTGCACGACATACGTGATGAACTAGTACTGCAGTCTGCTACAAAAATTTCATCACTCCCTAATCATATTTCATATAACATTATCTTTAGACCCTACCACGAGCATTTATATATGCTTACACCTAAAGTTATTCCATCATTTGGTATTCGCATACAACCCCTTTTGTCTGGAGCTGGAATCAGCCATGACAGTATTGCGAATACCCCTTTGTTAATGACTCCACCGTGGGTTATATCTCCACCTAAGATCGATTTCGATCTAACACAACATGGTGATTAAATATGGTGATTATGCTCCTATTTATACAGATGGCTCGAAAGATGGTGATCGGGTAGCTTCGGCTACTGTGACGCCATCTGAGACCATATCTGTGCGTCTTCCACCTGCAGCTTCTATACTGCAGGCCCTGGAGTTCATTCAATCCTCGCCTTATTTAAAACATA